GCAAGTCAATGCCGCCTGGTCTAAAAATCTCTGCATGAACACAACCCAGGTTTTTAAACAAAAACTCTATTTTCAACCACAAAACTACTTAAGGGAATTTTTTCCATTACATAAAACAATAATTTTAAGATGGTAGTAAAATACTTTATTACCATGAAGTTATATGAATTAGATATAGAGTCATGTTTAACATTCAAATAAGCGTTCCTACGATTTAATATTAGCCTTAACCTGCAAACAGAGGTGGGTAGTAACTAGTTATTTTATCCCAGCTGCAATTACTTAAGTAAATGTATGCCAAAGCTATAGTTTTAGGAGTAATTTTAAGCTCCATAATCTTTACTTGATTAAGATCTTAATTAAATCTCGCTACACTTACTTGAGTAAAATGTTTAGTTACTCCATAATGGTGAGTAACTTCACTGAATAACAATATTTTTTTAAGTGCTCCAGATAAGGACTCAGACTTAATGTTTATGTCAAGATTAGTGTTTTTTTGTTGTTGTTGCTTGATTTGTTTTTTATATAAAAGCTTACTTGAACCTACAATGCCATTTAGAGGTCAAGCTAATATACTGTAAGGTGTAAATCCCGTCACTGGAGGTACCAGTTTTATAAGTTTTATGTTAAAAAGAAAACAAATTGGTTTTCTACCTTGAATTTTAGGTTTTCAATTCCAGTATATTGTTTGTTTATTTTAATTATTTAAGAATAGTCTTTGAACTATCAGAAATTACACAAAACTTTTTACATTCTGGTCTGACTTTACTGCACAATTTTAAATATCAGAAATAGGTTGTTAGTACTTGAGTAGCATTTTTACCAGATACTTCTCTTACTTGAGTACAAATACAGTGTTACTCTTACTTGAGTTCCATTTTTGGATCTGAAAGATAGTAGCACTTAGTCTAATGCTATCCATATGCAAATGCAGACTGCATCCTACATCCCTTACAAATAATGTTTCACAGAATAAAAGCAATATTTATGCAGCATTTTATCTCAATACTTGACAGAAATTTCTACATATTTGTCTAGCAGTAGCCTAAACACTCTGGATTCCTTTGATGCATTTATGTGCAGTGTGTTTTGTCACCGTCTCCATGCATACTTGTGATCTCTCTGGGTACTCTGGCTTCCTCTCATTTATTCACTGCAGGAGAAAGTGTTGCACTGTGGTGGTTAAGCCGTAGAGAATGGATAGATATTTCATTGCAGCCAAAATGTTGCTTAATAATCTGTACTTTTTGATATTCTTTTTTTCTTTTCTTATAGTCACTTCAACTCACAATTTAGCAAAATTACTCAAGCTATTCTATTTTTGATTCTTTTTAACTGCACGATGTATTAACTGCACAATGTTGTCACTGGAATATGTATTTTAATATATCACAATCACCAAGGACTGCTCTGAATGCAATACTTGTTGCATTTCATCTATTTAATCCCTGATTGTCCGTTATATATTGGCTGAAGTAATACAGCTCTTTGTGCCAACATTTGATCTTAATTTTAGTGGCAGAGATCAAAAAGTTCAGGGTGAGTCTTCGGGACATCATGCTGCTGAAAATGAATATTTCAAAGGAAAAACGTTGAAGTAGCTGCGACTGAAATCATCACCCCAGTAATGAATAAAAATCAAACATCACATCAACATGCAGCTCTACCTTTACCTTAGTAGTTTGAACAGTATATGTCTTTATACTTATGTTTTTTTCCTGAACCTTTAAACAAACAATCATTGTGTTTGTTGATGTGCTTGTGCACATAAATACTAGTTATGATGCATTTGAAGATATGACAAACATGAGCTGGCTCAGTTGAAATTTAACCGATTCAGTAAGAATATCTTTCAAATAAAAATGTAGCATTGCAAAAAAGAGAAATCTAAATTAAGTGCATTTTTTCTTCTATTGAGAGACTTTGCCAATGTTACAAGACAATTTACATTTAAAATAGATTTTTTTTTAAACAATTGCTTTGTCTTATTTCAAGTGCATAATATCTTTTGATCTTATTTTAGTGGTAAAAATACCCATTCCACTGGCAAATAATCTTATTTACCTACTGAAATTAAGGGTAAATATACTTAATTTAGGATTTTTTTTTTTTTACCTATTTCTAGATGTTTTTTGCAGTGAGGCTTCTTATCCTAAAATCCACCCTGGAGACTCGATGAGGATGTTATAGATACCAAATTATAACCATCAGGTTCAACAAGGTCACTATAAATACACTAATGAGCCTGGAGGTTCTAAAATGTGCTTTATTCTGCACTGGAGGGTTTATTTTTTATTTTTTCCCATTGGATGAAGGAATGTGACCACACCATGAGCAGGTGCATTACCGTCAGCCAGGGGCGTCTCTAGGTTTAAGAGACAAGGGTGGCTCAGCTCCTAGAAGATAATGCGCGCACACAGCGCGCGCCAGATTTTTTCAGTGCACCTGCTAAGGCGTTGTCTAAGACAAGGGTGTAACTTTGTGTTGAAAGTTGGTGGGGACGGCTCATAAGGAAAGGGAGCTACCTGCGCGACGCCTTTTTTTTTTTGTTGGAAAGGATAAAGCCAAAAAAATGCGAATAACATTTATCAATTTAATGCTTACAGTTGAAAACATAACTGTTACAATATTCACTTATATATTTTGTGCAAAAAATATCACATAAATCTAAACAGACAGTACAAATCAAAGAAATCAAATAAATATATCAATTTTGTAGAACATTTATTGACAGTCAATTTTGGGTCACTTTTTAAAATTAATTTACTTTTAAACCAGGACTCGGACAAGATCTTATGGGGCCTTAAGCAGAATATGATTAAGCAACTCCGTCTTTCTGTCAAGAACATCCACTAGCAGGGTATCCAGGGGGGGATTTACCATTAGGCAATACTAGGCAGTTGCCCAGGGCCCCAAGTTCTGGGGGCCCCATAAAACTCTTTTTCCATGTATGGTTAATACAACTAATCCTTATTTGTGCACATTAATTATGTTTTTGCTAAAAATCCTTTGGCTAAAATGCCATCAGAACGCTGATAAATAGAGAGGAAAAAGGGACAAGAAGAGAGGGACAAAACCTAGAACAAATAATGGATGTCTATTCTATTAACATTTCTCTATCTGTAGAATGGGTCTGTTTTATGGGTTTACTTCTCAGGGGGCCCCCTGCCTGTCTTTGCCTAGGGCCCCAAATTTCCTAAATCCGCCCCTGAGGGTATCAATACTGATTTGATAGAATCTGGGAGAGCGGACTATGTTCAACCATCCATTTTCTTTAACCTTATCCCTCAGTGGGATCAGGAGGTGCTGGTGCATATCTCCAGCCACGTTCTGGGTGAGAGGTGGGATCACCCTGGACAGGTCACCAGTCTGTCGCAGTATGTTCAACCAGCTTAAAAGTAATCGGTAATCAGATTTATTATTTGCACTTTTACTAAGTGAACTTTCTAACTCCCTTAAATCTGAAATTCCAATGCAAAAATTGTTTAAAGCTTTTATCTTTGGACCCCCTGCAGAGTGACGTCACACCTGCAAGATCCTATCCTTACCTTCCTGCTAGATTGCAAAAAGCAGCTTGCTCATGAGTTGTCAACTTAACACACTAAATCTTAAATGTACGTGTACATATAAAAGAAAAAGGGGCGCAGTGCTTGCTACTGAATGGCAACACTATCAAAGTCAGGAAAAAGTTTTAAGTAAAGCCGGGATTAAAACAGTAGCTACAAGAAGCTTCAAATAAAAGGTGTTCTTTATGTTCAACCTAAACACCAACTCCGATAGACCATCAGTAGAGCAGGTGTTTAAATTAATCAATCACTGCTGCGAAAGCTTACAGCAGTGAAAGCTAATATACCACAGCCATCACTTAATAAACGCAAAATAAACAACCCTCTAAAAACGGAAAACTGTAATGGACTGAAAGTCCTGTTTTTTATGTGGGAAATTATTTGCGTGTGTTTTAGTATAATTCTGATATATTGGCGCTGTTGTCTGTTTCTATGGCAACGATACTGAATGTAGTGTAGCTTAGAGACCTGCATGGGTCGAGTTTTACCAACCCGCACCCGCCCGAACCCGTTAGGATGACTACCGAACCCGACCCGTCACCCGCGGATATCTTCAATTCAAATATGGGGAGAGGTTGGAGGGGGGTGATGGGGAGAAAGCGAGAGGCAACAGATTCTTTTTTCTGAGTTTTTTTGTCGGGGTTTGTGGACGGTGAGCAGCGGGGAGAACTTTTTTTATTTTCCTTCTGAGGAGCGGCATGAATGGGATTTTAATCAGATATACACAGCACCGAAAGCAAAATACGTGTACAAAATATTGGTGGGGACATGTCCACACCAGTCCTTAAGGAAGTTACGCCTATGATTGTTCAGATTAACTTGTCTTCTTTATGGCTTTTATTCGGTGCTTTACTGCATTTGTTTTGGGAAAATATGAGGAAAAAATAAATACAGAAAAAAATATATATTTTTTAAAATCGCAAAATAATTATAGGGTGGCTAATGCCAAAGAAAGGGTGGCTGAAGCCACCCTTAAATAGGTCTAACGACGCTTATGCCGTCAGCCCTCAGAAACAAAGCACTGTCTATTTAAAGAATAAAAGAAATGGTTTTTTATAAGGACTTGACCTGAAAATCAATTTGCAAGTTGGCTGATTGACCAATATTTCTATATCCATGACCTTTAATATAAGTTACAGCTTTTACTGTATGACGCTTTCCTACACAAAAATAAACTGTTACGACTTGAAAAGGATGTTAATGAGTACCAGATTATATCCCAAAGAGGCCATAGCAATCAACAAGGTCACTATAAATAAAGTTATAAGACCGTCTCTGAAAAGCTGCTTTATTTTGCACTGTGTTGGTTTTTAAATCAGATGGATGGATGAATGGATCTGACCAGGTCGTGCGCGGCTTTTTGCCGGAAGATGGTTGGAAAGGTCGTTGCTGCTGTGAAAGTAATAAAAACGGGCTGGATGGAATCGCCCTTACCTTCTCTAAGCAGATGTGAGTAAATGAGCCAGAGGAGAAGCAGGCAGCAGAGTGACGCCCCTCCACCTGCGGAGAGCGTCTTGGCTCCAGACTGCATCCTACACAGACAGATTGATCCAAACTTTAAACGCAGGTGCCTCTCAGATAGCGGAATAGTGGCTTATCCAGTGGCGTCCCCAAACCCTTTGGTAGGCATCCATTTTGAAGGTAAAATAAAAGAGGGTCTAATAATAATAATCCCCCCCCCCTTGCTTTTTATCTTATGATTAAATTCCCTCCATGAGGCGCATATCCATCCGGACTGCGCACAAAGGCGGCAATGTTACCAGATCTGGCCAAGTTTTACGCAGCTTTGCTTTCAGACGCTTGGATTCACTGCAGAAAATCTTACCCAAAAAAAAAAAAAAAAAAAGTGTGTGGATGAAGAGGGAGTGGGCAGCAGCAGAGCCCCCCGCACAGTTTTTATTCCTCGCAGAGATGCTGATGATGCTGGTAGGGAATTCAGCCGCTGTCACTTCTGCTCTTCGTCCTCAGCGATGCGCAGTCCTCTTATTGTTATTCCCGGCCAACTTCGGAACCTGCGCCTGGTTCTACGCGGAGAGGCGCTCATGAAGGGGCGGACATGACGGACATACCAAACAGCAGCGGAAACTTGTCAGAAAACGGGACACTCCGGTGCGCCATCTCTGACCCCCTCAAAAAAAAAAAAATCTGATATCCGTATTATAGATTGTGATTAAAACGCGGCCAAAGGGGCGCAGCTGCGTCATGCGTGTCCGCATGTGCAAATCGGCGCAGTGGAACGTCGCGTCAACACGAAATTGAAAACAAAAATAAAATAATTTTAGAAAGAGTAGCAATGAGGGTCACCAGCCCCCACCCCCCATGGATAAAACGCACTGATTCCAGTTTGGACCGTTTGTCACCTGTATGAGCCTTTATGCAGAGATCTGAGGAAATGTCCCGCTGATGACGGCTCGCTGATTTGATTTGGAGGAAATCAGAGCACCTTGCAGAGTCAAGCTGGCTTTCTCATCCCACTCTGAGCTGCTCTATTAGCATGCAGGCTGTGTTGAGGAAGAGGAGGAAACATTGGATTTGTGCTGCTGCACTCTGTGCGCCCAAATGACGCGTCTCCAACTCTGTCACACACAAACACGGTGCCCCAATTTTTACCTCTAAGTGATAAAATAACCCTTAGATCTAAATGGTTATAAACTCCAAACTTTTTAAGGGTCGTTGGTCGTTAAGATTCCTGTAGAATTCCTCCAGTATCTCCACTGGGGTTAAGGGTTTATCAGGGGAGCAAGCAAGGACATCCTTGTGCATCGTTTTGTAACACAAGTTTCCTTTTGGATAGTTTTTAGAGCACGGATTCCATAGAGGAGAGAAATGCTCCATAAGTAACATTTAGGTCATCTATCCTTGGCAAAAAAAAAAAAAAAGGTCCAGGGGGGAAACATTTCTTGCTCCAGGCGTAATCTTCACCCACCTCCTTAGGGATCTACAGCTAAGGGCTCATTCCTCCAGCAGGTTCTGGGTTGGCCACAGAATACCCTCACTGTGGGAAGTCAGTTTGCTCATTTACCTCATTCACCTCAACACACAGGACCATTGATATCACTATGTGTATCCACAGTATGGACAGTCACAATCACAAAGAATAATCCACCACACTGTTTACTGGCATACTTTGAGGGAGTATTGAGCGGCCAGAGCTGATGGAAAACTCTCAGGCAAGCACAGTGGTTGATCCCTGGACCCTTGGGCTCCTTCAGGCAAATGTTAGCTGACCAACTCAACCCTCCACCTGCTGGAAAAAAGGTGCTGTGTGAGCTGAAATGCCGGTTTCCAAAATCAAACACAAAATATGGCTGAAAGTTGATTTATTTAAATAACATATTTTAAAAAAGTAAAAAAAAAAGTTTCCAAAATGAGACTTTGAAAAACTTCCTATAAAACATATTTGAGATAAATGTGTCTTTATAAAAACAATATATATTTTTACACTCTGTTACATTTCCAGATGTTTTCAAAACATTTCTTTCAGATTTTATATTTCTAAGAATATTAGTCGAACTTTTGCATGCATAATATAATCGCTTTCAGAGCCTTTTTTTTTTTTTTAGAACTTTAAAGTTCCCTGTTTTAAATAAATTTCCCTCAAATTAACCTTTTAAAAACATGTTCATCTTTGCTTTTATTCTATTGGAACAAATGTCTCTCCATGGCCATTTATATATTTCTTCCTTTAGCCTAAAGCTTTATTTTGTAAGAGTTATCTGTTGCCATATGTTTGGCAACAGATAACTCCACATAACGTATGTGCTTTTGGTTCTAATGTGCCACATTATGTTCTGAGCTCAGGCTTTGAGGTGCTATAACATTTTGGAATATTGGTTTCCTTTCAGCATGCTAAGTAAAAATAAGGCCCTAAATGGCTGCCTGTTCCTCGGGGTATTCTGTTGGTAAGGAGGCTGGTCCCTTTGCAGAGTGCTGTTGCAGCATGTTCAATTCTCAAGAGATCTTTAAAAGAGCAAATTAGATGATGAAGTGCACACTAAAAACTGTTGGATGAAAAACAAAAAAAACAACTGGGCTTATTTTTCCAGCTCTAATTGCCCTGGACTGGGTGGACTGAACAAAAATAGATTTGGTTTTAGCTTTGACCAAACGTATCTCTAAGTTAATGTCCTTTTGGAGTAACTGAATAAATATATCGAGACTATATTTATAGCGATGATAAACCAAAGCAAGCCATCATCTTAAAAAACAAGCTGTCAGGTTGTGTGGAGGTTTTTAGAGCACCTTAATGCAGAGACGGAAGCTGAGGTGGCTTCTCGCAGATTTGATAACTGGCAAAAGAAGCATAAATCCAGCAATAAGCAATCAAGCAACACAATAACCAGAACAGGGGGAAACACAGGTTAAGGAGAGAATGAAGAGAATCCAGCAAACAGTAACTGCAGAGGAGGAATGTATTTGCCAAACAGAACAAAGAATGGAGCAATCAGCTGATTGGGAGCAGGTGTGGACAGAAGGATCTAGAAGGGAGCTAGGGGAAAGGAGACGGACACAAGGGGACAACAGCAAGTAAAAACAAGAAATATATAAGAACTCAACTACAAACAGAAAATAACTAGAATGACACAAAATGGAGATGAAACCAATGGCCTAGAAAACACAGAGGGACATAAATCAAAGTGTAAACTCAAAAAGAAGCTTAAACCGAACCAAAACGTCCAGAAAAGGCAGAATCATGACACAAACTGATTAAAGGCTAAACACTGACTGAGTTGGAAGAGGGCTTGAGTTGTTGTGGCTCTTTATACTACAAATAAAAAATAAAATCTGCAAAGCAAAATGAGTCAAAATGTATTCATAGCAAGATTCAGTCATGAATATTGTAAAAGCATGTTGTTTTAATTAAGAAGAGTTTCTGTTTGGTCTGTTCTAACGTCTAAGTAAAGTAAAATAGATAAAACAAGAAATCTTTTTCCTACTGTAACCTCCTGAGCAACTCTTTCTCAGTGTTTCTTGTGTTTCTGTTTTTAATTCCTTAAGTAAAAAAATTAAGTATTGTATTGTTCTGAAAGTCAGAGCAACACACACATATTTTCATCTTGCACAAGAATCTTTTAATAAAACTAAATTAATTGATTTTCACTGTATAAGCACTGAAAAATATTTTCATTCCACTTTGACTGTATCAAAGGCTGAGCTTAGGTACCGTGTCACTTTGCACCAAAAGCATAATTAGATTCCCTAAGAAGAATTGTTTCTGGTGAGTGATTTTCAACTAATCCTAATTGACATTTTTACAGAGTTCTGCATGTATCTAAAGTAGAAGTTAGCTTCTTAACGGAAATCTAATAATAATGGTTAAAAAACCTGTAATTTAGAGATTAACCTACGGTTTACCAGGACAGAAGGGTCCGGGCTTTTTTAGGCTATGGTGAATAAAGCATTTGTGAAGTATATAAGGTCTCAACAGGTAAGTAATTCTTTAAGCATCTTATGTATACAGCGACTTGATGAACATCTCTAATCTGGGATGACGGCAAAATGTTTGAACTGCAAGAACCACCTTTAGTTCGGGTCCAAGCAACATAGATGCAGCCCTTAAAAAAAGTATAAAGGCAGTAGATTTTAGAAATAAGTAAATTATCTAAAGTTCGGTTCACTTGAATCTCTGTGAAACAAAAAGAACGAAATCCAGAAGAGGCCCAGAAGGGGACTAAGCCTCTCTCACTAGATAAAGACCATAACTATAACTCACCAGCCCTCATGCTCAAATTCCCCAGACTGCTTGACCAGTGAATGTGCACTTTATTAGCAGATGTAGAGATCCCCCCATGTGTGCTGCTTTTATGTTGATGCATACTGCAGGACGGGGCCAAGATCTGTCACACCACTGCTGCCACAACTAAAAAATGACTGAGGTCCTTCTTTCTGTAAAAGACGACCCGTTTTACTTTGTTGGAGAAAATACAGGGCAACTTTGCGGCTTTTTCACCTTCAGGGCTTCGTGTTATTTTAGAGCTCCTGATGTTTTGTGCATCACTGAAAGCAGCTGCAGCAGCTTTACTTGGCGTAAATGGAGAGACTCTCTGCTGAGAGGGGGTTGTTTTACCGTCTCATCCACAGCTGGGCTCAGCCAGCGATCGGGGTTGGTTTGGGAGCCATGCTTCAGCGTGTCTGAGTGACGGCCCAGCATGGGTTGCAGAGTAATTAGTCATAATCCATCACTGTGACTGACAGGCTTATAGAAACTGTCACTTATTTTCTGATGCATAATTTTTACTCTCAGGTCTCCTGCTAATTCACATATTTGCTGAAAATTGCTTTTGGACTTATGTGAATCTTTATAACAATAGTTCTGTCTAAAATACGCACCTTAAAGTGACTGAGTTCAATTAAAAATGAAAGATTTCAGACTATGTTTTCTTTGCTTTCTCTTTTTGTTTGACTAAGCAACAGTGAATAATAGGTCTATAATAAAATACTGATTAACTTGAGGATCTTTTAATGTAATTATTAAGGACTGAATATCAACTTTAACAAAAGCAGTAAGAAATTATTATGTGAAGGACAATGTGAGAGTTTTGAGGGGAGGTTTAAAGCTACAAGTAATGGTTTCTGTTGGGATTTGTCCTCCTTGTGTTGCATTGGTTAGTAACTGTTTGTTATATTTGTTAAAGGTTTAAATTGGAAAAAAAACTTTGTACGCTTCGGTGAATTATTTAATGGCTGTATTCACCTAACATAGTAGAAAAGTCATACCAATATAAAAGAAAGACAAAGACACTTATCTAACCATCGGCCTTTCTGTAACAGAGTTTAGTTATTAAAAAAAAAACTCAAATAAAAATTTTCAAATCTGTGCAATACAATGTTATGTTAATCTATATTAATGGTTGACATTTTCAAAAAAAATTGATGTTCTGATCTTTTTCGTAGTTCTGTCCAGTCAAAGAATGGCGTTGAGTTTTATGTTTAGGTCTGTTTTTTTAGCCTTACTGAGCTTGTGTTTTTGTCTTTTCAGTTAAAGCCAGGCTTACACTGTACGATTTTTTGGCCCTTTCCAGTCGTGAGAGAATTTTTCGATCAGGCTGACTTTCAGCCTGACCGTGCATCGTGTAGTGTACAGGGGGTAACGAGGGGCGTTTAGACTCTCATGACCACTTCCCAATCAGGAATTGTGAGATCGGGAGAAAATCCAACAAGTTTGAAATTCAGTTGGCTGTCGTGGGCAAATCGTTCAATGGGCATGCAGAAACAAAGATTCTTCTTCTCCTTCCTCTCAGACAAAAACACAGAAGCATGGCAGGGGTGTGGGTGAAATGGAGTTCCTTCTGTAAATTTGACAGACCGTAGTAGCCATGTTTGCTCAGCCATGTCTTTGTCCAAATACGTTGTTGCCTTTTCTTTTTAGGGCTTTCAGAACAAAATTGCACAAATTGCCAAAGTAGTGCATTTCACTTTAGTGAGCTTCATATTCCTCTTCTACTCTTTTAGCTTCCAGACAGACATACCACTGTTGATAGAGTCAGAGTAATGCCATCTCATTGGGGAGTGTGAGTAGGTAGTGTCATGATTTTATCCAAAGATCTGACCCACATGCAGAAAACCAAA